GTGATATTCCTGGGGCATTCGCCCCTCTGGGGGGGGGGGCGATATTCCTAGGATATTCGTCCACCGGGGGCGAATTAGGGCTAAGATTAGTTCAAAGTACTGGCCGAGGATTATCGTATTGTAAAAGAACAATTACACAAATATGCAGGGAACGGTCAAGTCGAGCGTTAAGGCTGCTCTCCAGTCACACACGTTTTTCATACGTGCGTATACGCACGGAGAAGTTTATACCTTTTTAAATTTAACACCAGTATGAATTACCTGTACAAATGCACATTAAATCTTTCACAAAACTACTGTATATTATGCTTTCCTTTTATTAATTCAGTTATTTCATAAGTAACATTAAAAAAGATTTAGTCTTTTCCGTGCGTATACGCACGTATGAAAAACGCGTGACTGGAGAAAATCACACATAGCCATAGGCATAGCCCATAGGTACGCTTAAAAATGCGACACAACACTTTCAAAACTAATAGTAATAAGTAGTATGTTTCGCCTTTTATAACTGATAATTTTGGTTAAATCAATGACAAGTGCCACGTAAAAAAGGACTAATATTTCAACTTTGCATGCAATGATAGTATAGCCAGCTTGAGCATGCAATTGTTTAACAATTAGATTACGAGCTCGAATAAATCGAGAGCAACTAATCTAATTGTTTTAGTAGAATCAGAGATCAAACATAACATATTCTACAATATTCCATAAAAGATTGCCATTTAAAAAAATGCGCCAGGAAAATGATTGTTTTCCTATCAAATTACAGATTTACAATGCAATGGTATACCAGGGTGCGATAATTCAATATTTTTAGCCGTACCTGGCTGGTACTCCGACAACTTTTGCCGCGTACCTGGTCTGGTACAAACTTAAGAGTCAAGACGTACCTAAGAATACTTCCGAGTCATGCGTTTTTATACCTACGTATAGTTTACTGGTCCAAAAGCAAGAAATGTATGGGCAATTTTGTACAAATGAATCTTTAATTATGGTATTTGTACAACATAATATAACAGTTTTCAAAGCGTCGACGTTGTGACTCGAATGCCATCGCTCATTTACAGTGGATTTACCGAGGGTGCTAAGAGGTTCCTGAAGGGGTAAAATGGGAACTGGGATTGATCTATTTTTAGACTGGGAAAATGGATTTGGGTTGCTGGGACTGGGATTTGGCCACTGGGAATGGGAAATGAAGTCCTCAAAAATGGGAATGAGGTAATGCGAGTCGATTCCCAATTTTTCTGCGTTTTGAGTATTTTAAAATACAATTTTGATCCGTTTTTGGTGTCTTTGGTCACGATTTTTGTTGTTAACTATATTATTCACAGCACTACCTGCGAACAGGCATACTCTGGCGCCCGGAATTCTGGGTTTTCTGATTATGCGTGTCTCAGAATGCTGCAAATGCCATTTCTGGGATTCAAATTTAAAAATTTTCCGTGCCTTCGGCACGAGCCCCCCCCTGATATTTCATAAAGTGTCCGCCACTTGCTTAAAAGGTCTTAAAACTGTTTATTCTACCGATAAATAAAGGATTCTTTATTGACTGGGATTTCAATAACTGGGACTGGGATTTCTAATAAAAATCCAACTGGGACTGGGATTTTGCAAAAATTTCAGGTGGTAAATGGGATTGGGACTCTTCAGGACCCTCTGCTAACAGTCTGACCTCAGCTACATACAGTGTAGTTTTCCTCATTGAGCCTAAAAAAAACTGTGGTTCCGGTTTCGTATCGTTAAAAAATTAGGATAGGTAGGTCTTGAAATAAAAACTTTTTTTGAATATTTTTTTCATGGTTTTGGCGGATTTTTGCTGGGCGATTTTCAGTAGAGTCCCGACATCAATATTAAATAGAGATGCGTAGTTCCTACGGACGAATTTAGGCAATTTGGTTCAATAATTATTGTGACAACAGACGCCATTTTGGCACGCTGTACGAGCAGCCCGCAATCACCCGGAGAAAATAGGGTCGCACAGTCAATCAAGTTGAAAAAAATAATAGGGTGGGCAGAAAAAAATAGGGTCGTTCGGGAAACCGGAACCACAGGTATTTTATTTTTAGGCCTTGGTATAGCATTGACAATTAAGCCCAGGTCACACCACACAACGATAATGATACGATAACTTGTAAACACGCGATGATTGGTAAAAAAATTATGTTCGTGTGCACACTATAACGAAAACGATAAAATTATCGGCGTTTGACGCTAACGATTTTAAAATCGCTCACCCGAGCGATTTTTTTTCAGTCGGATGATGACGATAAATTTTTTGATCAAGTGCAAAGATAACCTTTTGGCTTTTTTCATCCCAAAATATGTCGGATGCGTGGAATTCACATGTACAGCTAAAGTTCTTCACGGTTTTGAATACTTTGGCAGGTTTGCTAGTTATTGCTAGAAGGAAAATGCAAGTACGCGAATCGCAAATTTCCGCGTACCTACGTGGTACTTGCCTAAAAACAAAGAAGTACCAGACCATAAATTTGGAGACGCGAATTATCGCACCCTGGGTATACTAGTATAATTATCCCTGCAACACTATCATGTATTCTATTTAAGTTTTAAAACATATAGTTGGAACACTCATCGAACCTTTATATATTTTGTTAATCTAGAGCTTGAAATGCCCCCTCTAAGAATGCGCGACTGCCAACTATCATCAATTTTCATCCCCGTTTGGCGTTTGACCGAGGCTAGTTAAGCCATAACCTCATTTATTCTAAAATTCTAATTTATTTTAATATCAGTTAAGGCCACAGACATAAGTAAGAAAAAAATGCATGCAAGTGCCGCTATCTTTATTTATCAAACAAAACTACGTTATCATTATATTGAAACCAATCAAAGCTGATGTTTTTTCAAGAAAAAATATTAATTTTAAACTAAAGCAGAGGTTTTTCAGCTAACAGAACGGTTATATAATACCATAGAAACTGCATGTAAAGGCTAAAGCTGATGTTTTCTTCAAGAGAAAACATGTTAAATATTACTAACTAAGCGATTATTATAGATACAAAAAACAACTACGTCTACAGCTCATTTAAGCAACTACGTATATGTATTAAGTAAAAAGACAAGGTCCTTTTCAAGCGGTCGTTTCCATGTGATCCACGGAGCAGTTCTAGACCAAATTATTAAAAATTTGGAATATAAACATAAATATCCATGCATGTGTATCCATGATTATCTCCTTCTGTGAAGTTGAGCAAATCTTCCCCATACCAGATTCTCATCTTCTGGCCTTTGTACAGGTAGCCAAACCCTGGGTTAGAGAACACGAGCTGTGGGGAATCTGGCCCGTAGCCAGGCAGATCGTACCATCCACCTTTACGAGTGTTTATCAGAGTTGGAGATGGGTACATGCGTTGGTTTCTTGTATCTAAATAATCAAAATTCAATCAGATAAAATGATCACTTCGACTCATCTCACGAGGTATCACGGGAGTGCAGATTTTCTAGGGGGTGGACCTTTTGTCATGCACCACCGAAACTTTCTTTCCGGTTACGCCGGTTTCCTAAAATCCTTCTGCAGTTGCATGCCAATGATATATGGGACCTACTGATCTACGGGAAACACGATTACACTGGATGCAGTATAAATAAAGTTAGCGTAGTTTAGGTTTCGTTTTGTAGTAATAGTGTAGCAATATAAAGAGATGACACGAACTGGATCTCAAGGGAGAACAGTTTTGAACTGATAGAATTTGTAATATAGTTTAAGAGATTTGTAGATGGATATTATCGCGTGTAAATTTATATACATTTGTTGGACGTAACCAGGAACAGCTGCGATAAATGCAACTACGTCCTCTGTCAGAAATCGACCCTGCTATTCCGGTGCAGTGCTCTAACCATGCACTGAGCTACAGAGTCCAGTTGTCGAGCTCTAACCACAAGTTCTTAATATATATTACTAGGGTACTGCCATGTTAAAATATGCATGGTAAATATCATTGTTGGCATCTCCCTCGATTGAATAATAGTTGAAGGATTTTGTATAAAATACAACTATTATTATTCAATCGAGTGAGATGCCAACAAAATCTTGATATTTGTCCACTTTAAATAAAGTAAAGTCTTGTTTATACCTGTGACAATGATATTTGTAGGATGCAATCCATTGTCGCATCCCCAACGTGTATAGCGCCCCCTAGCGCATCCAATCTTGCCTTTCTTGTGCACCAATTTCATGGCAATAATGAATCTGTTCGGTCCATTGTATCTGATCTCTTTATAATGGTTTTCCCTGGCTCCAACACAAAGGTTAGAGGCAAGTTTTTTCCAATACCCTAAAGAATTGCGCAAAACATGTTAAGAATGCTTGCATGCATGATAATTTATAGGAAAACAAACATGATATACTATAGAGTATTTTGTAAACCTTACTCGATTTGTAAACCTTTTTCGTCAGGTGAAAGTATACATTTTGATAACTAAGGTTTCTATGGATATCCAGTAAGATTTAGCCCGCAAGAAACGCCATTCGGTGTTGGATATTCGTCCGATACCATGCAGATCCTAATATTCAGACGCTACTCGTCCGACAGAAGCATTTTCTGATAACATTTACATTTGTACTTTGCTAATTTTTCTTATGACAAGTGCACATATTCAAAACCTATAGCATTCTAGCTTTTCAGTCCACTTGTCATAGACATATAGTAAAAGTTAAAAATTGCCTACACAGACGACCAAAACTTGTCATGTGCAGAAAACTTGTCATAGAAAAGACCGGCTTGATATTGTGTCGGATTAATATCCATAACACATTGGAAATCTCATTATCAAAATGTATACTTTCACCTAACGAAAAAGGTTTACAAATCGATTAAGGTTTAAATATCACCTATTGTTTTCCTATACTATAATATTACTCCTTAATATACAGCTATTTCAATTAAGGTTGTCCCCGAGCAAAGCGGAAAAGTCGAATACGAGCGCGAAAGGCTTGCTGGGAATCGTTAAAAAATTCATTAATTTTTTAGCGATTCCCATGCAGCAAACCTTTCGCGCCCATATTCGTCTTTTCCGCTTTGCTCGGGGACAACCTTAGTTAATTGAAATAGCTGTATTATATTAATATCATCCGACCATCTAACGTTTATTCTAACGGTTCTCGTCATTTCAGAGACCCTTTGAAGTTTGCCGGCTATACTGAGCCGGACTGGGCGTCTTCCATGTATTAACAGTGGTCTCATGCAACCACTTGACTACGGAGGAATGCCTTGAAATCGACTGAAATTAAGTTATTTGTATCATTTCAGAACGTGCAATTAACTATAACGACGAAAATACTTCGGACGAATAATCACTGCGTAAATCATATTGATTCTCATGCAAACCCACAAAAAACTTGAGAAACACATTCTTTAGTCCAAGCAAACATTTTCTGCGCGCCTTTTTGGCAAAACCATCTAAAATATCGCCAAAAGTATAAAAAGATGGAAAAAACAAAGATGCTAACCTGACTGCTTTGCAGACACGATTACATGAAGAAGACAGAAGCATAATAGCACTTTAAACAACATTCTCTTTCCGTTAACTTCGCAGTATTGCTGTGGGCGGCAGGTTGATATGACTGAGACATGTATTCATACATTCATACATACATATAGGCAAAGAATAAAATATCCGGGGGGGTGCGAGGTGGGCGGGTTGCTGCATGTAGTTAATGTGCGAAAATATGATTTAATATATTTCTTTGATTTATTGTTTATTACACATCTCAAACGATTTCAATGTGTGTATTAGTGTAATGTACTTTGTTTCTTTCGATTTAATGAAACATTTCATCAGTTATGATCACGTATCGACTAAATATCGCTATATTTTGCACATTCATAATGTGATTGGGACATCTTAGCAAAGATTAACCCACCCCCCGGTACTTTTTAGCATGAATTTGTTTGATAAACTAATCTGTTAAGCAACTTAACGACGGTAATATGTATAAAGTATATACGATTAGACAAATAATTTTTTATGACGAAGACACATATATGCAAGAAACTGGAATGGCGAGGCTTAATAATTGTTGCGTAAACAAATGAACAATTGCAAATTTTAATACTCAGTATAACGAGTAATGAGTGATGCATTTATAGTACTCATACAGTTGTGCAATTTTCCCCTTAAAATTTCATCTACAATGCTGGAGCTTCGTTCGCTTGTTGTGCGTGCATTCTGCTATATCGAACTTCGTAGGCTATTCAACTTGCTGTTTTGGAAGATGACGTTGAACACGAACTTCAAAAGAGCAGAACACAAGCAGAACAGGCAAACGAACTAACGAAGCTCCTGTAGATAAATTTTTAGAAAATTTGCCAAACTTTCACTGTTTCTTACTCATTATACTAAGTACTAAAATTTGCAATTGTTCATTTGTTTACATAGTCAGTTATTAAGCCACGCAATTTAAGTATGTAGCCTTAATTAAAATTCCATGCAAAAAACATCCTTGCATTGTGTCATAAAAGGTTCATTGTGTACCCAATAAGCTGTACACTCCAAGCAGCGAAACCTCTGTTCGCAGTGCAAATAGGCTGTAGCTTTGTAACAGTCCACATTGGATTCTGCATTCATGCCCATGTCCAATCATTATACCTTGTTCATATTACCGTTGTCAAGTTGTGCATATTACCATTGTCAAATTGTGCATATTACCGTTGTTTAGTTTCTCAAACAAATTCATGTTACAAAGTACCGGGGGAGTGCAAAGCCCCAATCACATTATGCCTGAGTATATGTATGAATGTACGAATACATGCCTCGTCTCAACTTGCCACTCACAGCAATACTGTGAAGTTCCCATGGACACTAGTCACACTACGCGCTAAAAATGAATGTCCATGCCCGCCCCATCACTCGTAAAAATTAATACAATCAGATACTGTGTCCATGCCCGCCCCATTACTCGTAAAAATGAATACAATCAGTTACTGCGTGTAGAGGCTGAATGTGAGAACTGTTGGTACTGGACAGCCAAACAAACTTAAACACCATAGTATTATGAATAGTTCTAGTTTCCACTGCCAAATCCAGGATTTATGCAACAGCAGGAGGGTGGGGGGTTATTTTCTAAAGGAGGAAACTGCATCTCACTAACATAATGTTTTTATATTGAACTGGCATGGATTGAGTTTGAAATATCTGAGTTAATGTAAAATACAGTGTTTCTATTTTTTTCAAAAACCCCAATTAGATCACTATTCATAATACTATGATGCTCCAGTTTGTTTGTCTGTCCAATTAGATCACTATTTTCACTATGGGCATGCTGATCAATAGTACATGCCAGTTCACAGGGGATCCAAGATTTTTGTGTGCAGTTGAATTCAATGGTTGTGAGCTGGCTCTTGTTACCTATTGTATTCATTGTCCCCATTTAAAAACTTCCTGCCCTTATTTACCGTGTCTTGGGTATACTGTATACTTGTCTAAGTCAATTACCTATACAATACCTATTTTTTGATCAGGCGTTACCAGTTTTACATTAATATCAGCCAAGATTTTAGGGCTGATTAATACTTAAAAATCCCCTCAAATCTGTTCCCATGGGTTACTGTGATAATAATGAAATTTCTTTAATTTTTTAGTGAAAAATTATCTTCAGATGTCGAAAGCATCTCTGGCGAGGAAATTTTGTCTCAGCAGTCCAGTTTGAAAAAGGAAAATAATAGTCCAGTGTTAGTGGAACACTCAACTCCGTATTCTACTCACTGTCGTGCAGCAGCCAGACCTCGTAGATTACCAGTCATAAGCCCTCTCGTCGCCGAATCACCGCCAGAAGGAAATGCGGTTCAGTTTGATAGCCCTAACTTATTCTCCGATACAACTCAAGAGAACTGCGTTTCCTCAGCCAATGACGACGAAGCAAGATGTAACGTACCTGTTAAGAATCGTGACGTACACAATTCAGCCAATAAGAATGAAGATGGACATACCACAGCCAGTGAGAAGGGAGATATCTGTCACACAGCCAATAAGGAAGGAGAAAGCTGTAATATCGATTGGACAGCTGAATTAACCGAAGACGATATGAGTTTGAAAAGTCAAATATCAAATTCTAGTGCGACAACTAGTTTGGAAGTGGAAATAAAATTGCAGAAACTGTCGAGCAGTGACATTCAGAACGTCTCTTATAAGATAAAGAGTTTGTCGTGGAACGAAGACGCAACGAGGCATGATGTGTGCAATAATGTTGACAATTGTTCACACGAAAATCTGTCTGAGAATCATAAAGTTGTTTCTCATGAGAGGGATGCTCATTCAGTCTCAAATCGGTTCATTTGTACCCAAATTGTTTCTGAGGAAATGGAAAATGCTCCAATTGAATGTAAATGTAAAGATTTCGATGAATCGTCGCAACATAGGAAGACCCTTCCAACACAGGAACAAACGCAAAGTTTGACAAAAGAGCAAAATATTTCCAACTCAGTTCAATATTTATCCACGAAGAAAGACCCTAATGGCTATATTTCAGAAATAAATCCTATTTCAAAGAAGGATCGTTCTTACAATAATCAACTAGATGATTGCAAACAGGAAGAAGCAAATCCTATAAATATTAATGAAGAACCTTATAAAGATAGCACAAAGCCCGTTCATCTTGCAAATATGAAAACATTGCCAAAGAAACTAGCAGGACTTTGCTTACTTGATGCAAAGGTGTATCTGAATAAGAAAGAAGGTCTTACATCATCCAGTTCAGGCGCAGTGAAAAATTCCAATATATCTGCTCCACAGAATTCTTTGGGCAGTGTGAATGTAAATGGTGATGCACACCCGGAAACTCACTCTGGGGATAACCTCCAACATTTACCCTCTAGCGGGATTCACCCACCGAAACACTCAGGAGATGGCCTCCCAACCCTCCCTCCCAGAGATTCCCATCCACTGACTAACTCACCGATTGAACTCCCAGCTTTATCCTCCAGTGAAGTCCACCAGTCGATACCCTCTAGTTGTGTACTTCCACAACACAGTTCAGGTATCTCAGGACAGGTTGGATTTGCTGAAGTAACTCCCAAGAATTTTGATATCCACACGCCTCTGAATGGTCAACATACTGGAAAGATTAAGAATCCAAATTATTCGTCATTCGCGGTAAGAGTATTCATTTCTCAAATCGTATTTATCTAGTAGTCACTACTGTAATCAGGGTTCATAGCGGTCTTTAAGGTCTTTGAAAAGTCTTTGAATTGTGTGAAAAAGCAACGAAAGTCTTAAAAATCTTTAAATTCTTTAGTGAGTATTTGATTATACGATTTCCTAGCTAATAAAATCGATTGATTGAAGCAAGATTTTCGCAAATATCGACGAAAAGGCACATTTTAGCATGTGATTTGACGGGACTAATTATTGGGTAAAAATGGTGCTTACACTCGCAATTTTTCGAAAGCTGATTTCTCTCAAAGGTCTTTGAAAAGTCTTTGAAAATAGGCAGAAAAAATCTTTGAAAGTCTTTGAATTTTTTTGGTGTTGGAGACTACGAACCCTGTGTAATTAACAGTGAAGAGATTTTCTGTGACCACTAGCCAAATGTTCTCATGAAATAATCAGAGAAATCTAGGAATATTGGCTAAACGTATGTGGCAATAACTTTTAAGCGCTAACAAGCTTTTACAATAAGTGTATAAAACACATTTGGTGGACATTTTGCTAAAGGCCATAGACCATTTACAGATTTTCTGGACTGTAGCATTTTACACGCATAGCCTCACCTTTATTTTTTGATTTCTTTTGAATTTTATTCAGTTTTTTCTGCAAATGGTCTATGGTACACGAGACAACTTTCTCTGAAACTTGACATATAATTTCGGACCCAAAGCATGCATTTATGTACTATAAATATGTAAACGTACTCACATACCGCAGACTCGCTGACACTTTACGAAATATTACCATCCTCTTAATGAGGTGCAATTCTCTTTAAAACGTTTCTCCCTCGTGATTCACAGGAATTTTTTTACAAAAACATTAATGTTTTGAAGATGGGAAATAATACTATTCTTGTAAACCATTTGTAAAACCCATCAATGGATAACGCGAATAATTACCATCAATGGTACCATTAATATGAAACAAAATTACGAGAAATGGGAAATCATTTTGAAAAGAATAAACCATTACTGGATTGTACTATAAAACATATTTTTTCGCATTTATTTAATGTTATTGAATTTGTTAATAAGAATTATACATATACCAGTATAAAAATTACTTTCTCCATTCACGGTTTTTTTCCCTGTGATAATAGGAAGCTCTTACTCCAGCAATAATACATAAATGTCGAAAGAAATCGTCGAGTTCAATGGACAACATTCTCGTGCAATGTGAACAACGAACAGTTTTGAAATTCACCGACGTTCTTTCACCAAGGTATGTTCACCTGTTCTAAAGTATGGCATGGAACTAAAAAAGACAAAGTATACATTCAGAGAAAAGGCTACATGGAGTGTGTGTGTGTGTGTGTTTGAGGGTAGGAAGAAATTTGCCCGAATAGACCTTTCCCCTGTCATAAGTTTCCCCATTCAGTTTGATCATCTGATTATCAATTTCCCGTTTGTAATGCAAAATGACTGAAAAACTGCAAACTTCGCAAGGCTATATTATCCGCATTTTACAACATTTCGCAGCGAAACTTCGGAATATTACTAATTTTGTGATGCTCTTTCAAGACTTGTTCAGACTTGTCTAGATCAAAATTTCACTCAAAAAGGGAAAGGTCTAATATATATATATATATATATATATATATATATATATATATATATATATATATATATATATATATATATATATATATAATTTAATATTTTTAATACAATTTTTCAATTGAATAAGTTGCTACTTTAAGTGGCTGTCTCACTAAGAACCATGCAGAGCGTTTCAGGTTGAAAATTAGATTTCCTTTATATTTTTACCATGAAATACCTTTGTCCTAAAAGGTATTAAACTAATATTAGAATTTCCAAATTTTTCTTTTTTTTCGAGTTATGACGAATTTTTGTCTGGACGTCAGCGACACTGAAATTTGACCCCGAAAACGGCGGTCAAATGTGTGTTAAATTGTGCATCATAACTTGGAAAGTTTCCCGTCAAATTAAAAACTTTTTTCAGCGTATTGAGACATATTCTTCTTCTTTTAGAATGTTGAAAGAATTTGACTGTACATCTTATTTTAAGCCTACTAGTCTCCATCCAAGGATGTCGGTATTTTCGTTCGCCAAACAACTAATGATTAGGTACAAAATTCAAACTAAAAATTCTCAAAAGTGCAACCTACATGGTGTCTAAAACACTTTTAGAGTTAAAGTAGAATACTTAAAGTTATGTTATTCGCAATAAAACTTGTCGGCAAAAGGAATATGAAGGAGTGCGAAATTCATAAATTATGGCTATAAATAGCTCTATTGTTTACCTTTGTGATAACCGGAAACACGTCCAGCGTTACTCGCGGAGTTTTTATAAATTTATATCAGCAATTAATATAAATATAAAATAGTGTTTATAAGTCCTTATATTTGAATACAAACACCGCCTTGTAATTTTTTTAAGCTTTTGGAAAGCCTTTACAATTGATCGTTTTAAACTTGATTAAAATTACTAAATAGTTGCACGCCAACATAATGTACAATATATTATCATTGTTTAATACGGTACTGATGAGTGTGCCATAAATAGAATACACGCTATATTACGAAAGCAACAATATTATTATAATACTAAACTTTATAGTTAACTTGCTACCTGGTTAGTTATTTTTCGCGTGTTAATTCTTCAACAAACAATTTAATCTCGCAAATTTAATCTTTAATCAAACGTTCGGGAGTTGTCGAAAAAATTTCGAGGTTAATAAATTGTGTTAGGCCACATAAATTAAATTCCTTGATTCTCATCACTAGACTTTGAAAATGTCGAAGAGCCGGGAGGTTTATATTTTATATTTATATAATTTATCATCAATAAATAAAAAAATAATTCCTAACATTTAATATTTCTGTGATTTCCAAAGTGAAGTGTCACAAACCAAAATGAACATATTTCTCCACGAATAAGGACTGAACCCTTGAACTGAATGCGAAGTTCCGTTAAAATGCAATGAAATTTCTTTCAAAGTTCTATTTGTTTGAAATTGGCAGTTTAAAATGGCATTACAAACCCAATTTTAAATATAAAAAACTTAACTGTCTTGAAATATTTTGTCTGGCGGTTCGTTTATAATTGTATAACAAAATATAAAAAAATTTCACGCGGCTCTTAATATACAGCCGGGCGGTGATGAGAATCAAGGAATTTATTTTATGTGGCCTTACTGTAGTGTATGCCAAGGGGATTACGTTGGTAGCCAATTCAGTTTAATTTTCTCTAATTTATAAAATAATAATAAAAACCCACGAAAATAATAGCAGAAAATAATAGCAGAAAATAATAGCAGACGCAATGTATACAAGCTGTTCTTGTTCTTCAGTGCCGCTAAGACCGTGCCAGTATTCCCTCCAATCGGGTCCTGTTCGTAAGTGTACAGGAAGACGATGTTTTCAATGTGTCATTATCAAAAACTGTTTTTACTCTTTATGGGAAATTAATTCAAACAGGATCTCGTAAGCATTACGCTACTTTTACTTCTTTACGTGTTGTAATTAGTACTTTAATGACGCGGAGGGAAACATTCTTTTAATATGAAGGAGAATGCGTAAGTTTACGTGTTCTTCATTTTGAGGCGAAAGCACAAAGAGAAATGCTTGTGGACAACGTGTGAAAAGTGCTTGCTGAGATCGACGTATGCCATCTTATATACCATGACGTGTATGATTTATATGACATGTACAAACAGAAGAGCCTGTCTGTTTTTAAAATAACGATGCTGAAAGAAATTTGTGTGCATTTTGAACTTCAGTTCAAATCAAAGGATAAAATACAGACTCTCATAGATAAAATATCATCCATGATTGGGCAATGCACATGTTTCCAAATAAATAACTAAACTGTGCAGGTGCGGACAAATACTCCCAGACTAACTTGGACATGTCGAGAGATGTCATTGTTCTTGGTCCGCGAGTGTGTGGAGCCTGGAACAGTATCGTTAACCCAAATTAAGCACTATAAAAAACACCGCATGCAAACTACGATGTTATGTATTTTTTATTGCTATAATTTATGCTACTATTATGAGACAAATCAAATTTTGCCGAAAAATACCAATTCAAGTTGAAAGTTATTCACATGCAGAATGGCAATTAGCTGCAAACTACTGAAAAATTATTATTATTGCTGTATAGATTAAAGATAAAGGATAGATCTCAGTATACGTCGCAGCTAGTCAATGTCAATGCAACTAAGATCGTTTGATACGATGAATTGAATGGTTTGCATGAAAGGACAAAAATTCTGCCAAATGGGCAATGCGGAAAACTTTTAACAGAATATAATAACAACTTCATGGATTCAATTTATAAATTCGATGCGACGTTACGGCAACACACATTTTCGACATTGGCAATGACCGATCATGAGGGATACAACGTCAAGACACGACTCGTTCTGAGAAGGATTTTCGTATGGCAACAATCAATCAAATAGGGGACATGCTGAAAGCGATACTCGTGGGGAATTCTCGCAAAATTCAACGATAAATTCACGGTGTGATTCGGACCCAGTTTCTACTTCTCATGGCCGTAAGATAAGTAAAAAATCAGATAGCTCATTATTAAATTATTTAAAAAATTGTAAAGGTGGTAGGATTGCATGCTTAAATGTTAATAGTCTTACAAAGCATATTGATGAGCTTCGAGTTATGATGCAGAATAGCCCTATAGATATTTTAGCAGTTAATGAAACCAAAATTGACGGCTCATTTTCTGAAAATGAAATGAATGTTTTAGGATACCATGTAATTCGCAAAGATCGTAATAGACATGGAAGCGGTGTACTTTTGTATGTTCATGACTCTATACCATTTACGGAACGGAATGACTTACTAGCAGACACTTTAGAAATGGTTTGTGTGGAAATCAGCAGACCATGTAGTAAATCTTTCCTAGTAAGTACATGGTATAGACCTCCTAATACAAATCTTCAGGTGTTTGATGACTTTGAAGCTTTCCTCAGAAACTGTGATTTTGAGAATAAAGAATTAATACTTGTTGGAGATTTAAATTGTAATGTAAATAAATCTCCTTCCGATGCGCACACGCGTAGGTTAAAATTCCTATTGTCACTTTATCAATTTGATCAGATAATTGATAAACCCACTAGGGTAACTAGAACGTCAGCAACTTTGATCGATCTGGCAATCACGAATAAGAAACAAAATATTGTAAAATCCGGAGTACTTCATCTAGGCTTATCTGATCACAGTTTAATTTTTGTGGTCAGAAAACATTTTCAGATCACGTCTCGACAAAATGTTAAGTATGCTCGTAACTTCAAAAAATTTAGTGAAACTAACTTTCTCAATGATCTCTCACAAATTCCGTGGGACAATGTGACATTTTACGACGATCCCAATATTTCATATCAATTATGGCGGTCACATTTTTTGCAAGTATTGGATCTGCATGCTCCGCTGAGGCGTATGAGAGTTCGTGGCAATTCTCTCCCATGGATTACCTCGAAAGTAAAGGCGTTAATGCGGGAGAGAGATTTTCACAAAA